TACCCCAAAATCAGCTCGGCAGTAAAAGATATCTGGCGGTCATCACACTTTCACGACACGCAGTGAGATATTCGAATCTGATTTGCTGCTAAGCAGCTGTTGAATTAACTGTCATAAAGCATTCCAACAGTCTGATCCGACTGCGAATGTAGTCGGTTGCAGTTACAGCAATGCAGTCACTCGAATTTAAAAAGACTTTTAAGGTCCAAAGTCTGACTTGGATAGAACAATAGACAGCTCTGCAGAAAATATCATCCTGCCCTTTCACATACCCATTTTAATGCAGGTCTTTTTTCCAACAAAATGATCACTTTGCAAATCACTCAACCATTCTTGATGACATTAACAATCTTGAAATAGGTAATTCAGAAACCAATCATCCTTTTCAATCCATAAGTCCCTAACTAATATTATCTTTCAATTCAATCTGGTTAATATTTTTTTTCATCAGAAAACAATATCGTGAGCATAGTTAAAAATTGGCAAACATGACGGAAGTATGAATGAACTTACAGCTAGATAAGACTAAGCTTTAAAGGGATGATTTCTGAATCACCTTTGCCTTTGCCAAAAACTTTAAAAAATTATGAACATTTTAATAATAAAAAAATAAACTCTTGCGGTTTTTCGGAATTGGAGCGGATTAGAACCCAAATGAATTACTAAACACCTATTGATAAAATGATTTGAGAGGAGTAGAATATAGATAATTCATTAATTTTCTGTTTCCACTACATGCCTTTCAAATAGCCCTAACTTTTCGAAAAGATGTTCTGAACGACTGTCAGAATCTCTTGGTTATACCTTCACAGTAAAATCTTTCTTTTTAGTGAAACATTGCGTAACAAAAGGTTGATGTATATAGAGGATAATTCAGTAACAATTTCATGGATGAATGAAGATGTATGATGAACAGTTTCTGTATGAATGTTCTTGGTGAAATACAAAAAAAAAAGACAAATGAAAAAAAATTCCCAGGATTTGGAGTAAAGCGCACTTCATTGCTGTTATTATATAATTTCTTGGGGAAATCATAAAAGCATAAATACAAAGTATAAAAAATTATAAAAATTCACTGATCACAGTACGGAAAACATTTTTACAATTTCGAAGTTAAACATTTAGTAGTTTGGAAACGACAAAAGAAATACACGTAAAATTTGGACAGTAAAATTCAAATTCATTATTCAATCTCACTGAAGAACAATAAAGAACAAAATTCAATTCAATTTAGAAAATAAATATACTAATCTGGATATGCGCCAAAGCCAAACGGATGAGGAAAATATTGAAAATGGAACAAAAAAAGAACTTTTTCTTTGTCATGCACCGGTAAAACACGCTTTATAGAACAAAGCGATTACTTTAATTTACCTAATTTCCTGCGCTGAGAACTTATCACAATTAATGGTATCTCATCCGACGTATTCTATTTTAACTATTCGAAAGAGAATTTTTCCTGAGTGATCTTTTATTTTAAATAACTTTAGTTCGCAGTAGTTCATGTAACATGGAGCAGACAGCTTTTTTCCAACGACGATAAATACAGAAGTGAAGAATCGGAATAATTAAAACTACCGTGAATTTTGAGAGATACTTCCAGCTTCGTTTGATCTGTAAAAGTTATTTTGATTCTGGAAATATTGTATAGAAAAATAATGAAGAGAAGAGCAATAAATGTATCTTCCGCTTCATAAAGATGCAAATTCCGAGCACTAAGTGCAAAAATTTCTAACAAAGGCACAAAACTTACGATGTGCCAAATTTCAGATGTATTAATAGGAAAACTGCACCAAACAAGATACAAATGCCGCTAACGACAATGTATGCAATACCCAAAAATGCATTTTTGCCACCTGCCCAAGATGTTGTACTTATTATAAAATATTTTCGACCGCCAAACACCGTTACTGGATAATCTGAAATGCTTTTCATATTGCGACTCGAAAGAAAGAAAGGAACTAAATATCTAACAGAGGAAAGAATACAAATGAGATAATACTAAAGGGCAGTTGAACATTATCAGCATGTTATTTGATTACAATAATTTCATAGCCAGACTCAGTCTTGATTTTTCATATATATATAT